GGGTTCAGATGGACTGCTTGCTGGATCAAACAGGAACGGTGAGCCGGTGCCATGGTCAGGGCTCTCCTCTGGTGCCCCCGGGGTGATAGAGTCCTCAGCTTCGTTGCTACTGCCATGGCTCCCCGGGCTCGCTGAACCTGCCTGGCTGCTGTTTCTTGGCGAAGCGTTCGTCTGTCCAGGCTCAGCTGCAGCTGGTGAGTGTTGCAAACTATGGTGTGGTGATCTCGGTGTTAGTTCAGAATAAACAGGTGTTGATTCTAATTCTGAGTTCACGGCTTCCCCTCTCCCCCTGGTGTCAAAGTTAGGGTCAGGGTTGGAAGATGTGGTTAGTCTGGAGCGCAGCTGGTCAATATGGCGTTTCCACGCTCTGCCATCAGTGGTGAGTAGACAGTAGGAGCGGGGACCCGTAACTTGAGTTACTTGGGCAGGAATCCAGAGGGGATCTCCAGAAAATTTTTTTGCGAATACAAGGTCTCCTACCTTGAAGGCACGGTGCTTGCTGCTGGAACCCAAGGGCTTTTCTGGGGTGTAGGCAGGGTGCAAACGGTCTAGAGGCGATCTGAGTTTCCTGGCTATCAGGAGTTCAGCTGGGCTCTTGTTGGTCATGCTGTTTGGTGTGATGTGTTGCAGGAGCAGCATTCTAGTGACTTTGTCGTGGATGTTACCTTGTTCCATTTTCTGCAGGGTTTTCTTTGTAAACTGAACCATTCGTTCAGCCCTACCATTCGCTGCAGGATGAGCCGGCGATGTGAGTGCGTGTCGGATGCCCCGTTCCGCTAAATACTGTTCAAAGGCTAAGGCAGTAAATTGGGGACCATTGTCAGAGACCAGGACATCTGGTAAACCGTGTGTGGCGAAGAGTCTGTTCAGTTTTTTGATGACTGCCTCAGTAGTGGTTGCTTTCATTTTATTGACCTCAAGCCAGTTAGAATACGCATCTACAGTTATTAAGAAAGTGTGGCCTCTCGTAGGTCCCGCAAAGTCAATATGAATGCAAGACCAGGGACCCCTGGGTGTTTCCCATTCTGCTGGTGGAGCTTTTGGTGGGGCTGAGTGGTTTTCCTGGCATCTGTTACAAGAGGCGACCCAGGTTTCGATTTGTTTGTCCATACCTGGCCACCAGGCGTAACTTCTTGCCAGCGCTTTCATACGCACGATGCCCGGGTGTCCATCGTGTAGCATTTGCAAGACCCTTTTTTGTAACCTAGTTGGTACAACAACTCGGTCTCCCCACAAGATGCACCCTCTTTGTGAAAAATGTTCTGTTTGTCTGTTTTTAAATGGCTTAAATATTTCCTTAGGGTCGTAATCTGGCCATCCCCTCTCCACCCAGCCAAGAACTCGTGCCAAACAAGAGTCTCTTTTGGTTTCAAAGGCGATGTCTTGGGCCGTTAGTGGGGGTGAGGGCATTGTCTCTATTTGCAGTACTGGGAGCGTGGGAGCTGGGTCTTCCTGTGGCTCGGGTAGTGGCGAGCGGCTCAAGGCATCTGCGTGAGTAATAGATTTCCCCAGACGATACTTTAATTGATAGTCGTAGGCAGCTAGAAATTCCGACCATCGCGTCATTCTGGGGGAGAGAATGTGTGGAGTAGGTTTGTCGCCCGCCAGAATGCCAAGTAGTGGCTTATGATCCATGATAATAGAAAATGGTCTCCCATAAACATATTCATGAAACCTTTTAATTGCAGAGACAATAGCAAGGGCTTCCTTATCTAAATGGCTATAGTTTCTTTCTGTTTTTGATAGAGTTCTTGAAAAAAAATGCAATTGGTGCTTCTGAGCCGTTTGGTAGGACGTGGCTCAGGATGGCCCCCACCCCAAATGGTGAGGCATCACAAGTGACAGTCAAAGGTAGTGTCTCGTTATACTGAATTAGTACTGCATTAGAGGTAAGGAGGTCTTTTACTTGCTGGAAGGCGTGTTCCTCCTGACTTCCCCAAATCCAGGATGCCCTTTTATTGAGTAGTCTATGAAGGGGCTCAGCAACAGTCGCCTTCTGGGGCAGGAAGATGTTATAAAAGTTAATAAGTCCCAGGAAGGCTTGGAGGTCAGTTTTGTTTTTGGGTCTTGGGGCATTTTTGATAGCTGCCAATTTCTTTTCTGTGGGGTGGATTCCTTGCTTGTCAAGGAGGTAGCCAAGAAACTCCACCCTTTCTGTGCAAAGCTGGCACTTTTCCTTCTTAACCTTGAGGCCAGCATCTTTGAACCTCTGTAGGACTGTTCTGAGGTGTTTCTCTAATTGGTTTTTTGTGGGTGCTGCTATTAATACGTCATCAAAATAGGGCACGACCCCTTTTATCCCTTGTAATAGTCTCTCCATCAGGCTTTGAAAGATGCCTGGGGCTACGCTTACACCAAACTGGAGCCTGTTGCATTTGAATGCACCATGATGTGTGACTATAGTTTGGGCTTCTGCAGTCTCGGGATCAACTGGCAGCTGTTGATACGCTTGGGCCAGACCTAATTTTGCGAATATTTTGCCACCCCCAAGTGAATGCAGGAGATGTTGAACAACTGGTACTGGGTAGGCGCTCTGCTGTAGCGCGTGATTGAGGGTGGCCTTGTAGTCACCGCAGATTCTTATGGACCCGTCAGGCTTTATGGGGGTGACAATTGGTGTCTCCCATCGGGCGTGGTCAATAGGTTCTAACACGCCTTGTGCAATTAATTTGTCCAGTTGCTCATCAATTTTGGATTTGAGAGCAAAGGGAACTCGGCATGGCTTTAGGCGAATGGGTGCAATGTCGGGGCGAAGATTAAATGAAATAGGAGACCCCTTGTACTTGCCTATGCTTTCGTTGAACACTTCTCGGAAGTCGTGGACGAGAGCTGCCTCCCAGTCATCGTCTTCAGTATGATGGATGCCAGCCATTCCGATTCCTAATGGCGCGAACCACTGAAGGCCCAATAGACTTGGCCGGTCTCTGTCTAGGATGGTGAGTGGTAGAATTGCATTATGTCCCTTGAAAGAGACCTGGACATGGCGGGTACCTGCGACTGGAATCCGGTTGCCTTGATAGTCTTTCAGTATGAGTCTCTGACTGCTGAGGTCTTGGCGTCGGATGTTGGGAATTAGCTGCTTGAGTGTTCTCCAGGATACCATGGATAGTGATGACCCAGAGTCGACTTCCATGATGCACGGTTTGTTTTCAATGGTGACCTTTACTCAGATTTTTTTAGCGTCAAGTGATGAAGCGTGGATGATGGTGATGGTTTGATGAGCCTCTTCTCGTCTGGGTGTGTCGTTAAACCTTCGGGGTCTGCTGTACTGGTTCCACTGGTTGCTAGGGCAGTCCCTCTGTGTGGTGGAGTTGCCATCATTTCTCTTTGGGCTGCTCCCTCTCCGTCTGGGGCTGGAATTTCTCTTGTTTCTGCATACCTTCGTGATGTGCCCTCGTTTCTCGCAAAAATGACACATGGCGTCTAAGAATCTGCATTCGGATCGGGAATGGTTTCCCCCGCATCCGGCGCATTGGTAGTTGGATTTACGACCCCGCTGGTTCCGTTGCTCACGTTCCGACCGGAGCCTGTGGACTTCTTCTTCCTCGCTGTCTGAGGATGACTCGACATCTTCATGATGGGTGGTCGATGTGTACTTGTCTGAAGGTTTCCCAGCATCGTTGGTGGGTTGGCGGTTGGTTCCACTGGTTCGACGCATTCGTGCTGCTGATTTACGAGTGGCTTCAGCTGCGGTGGCATCTGCTATGGCATCTGCAAGCGAGATGTCTCCCTCGGCCATGATCTTGCTCTGGACGGTTGGGTCTCTGAGGCCAAGGACGATGCGGTCTCTCATGGCTTCTTCAAGGTTGGCGAAGCCACATAAACCGCCCAGGTTCCTCAGGTCTGCCACAAAATCCCCAACGCTCTCACCTTCACGCTGGTCCCTCTGGTAGAACTCGTGTCTGCGAATGAGAGTTGGCACGGCTGGGGCGTAATGGTTGCGCAGGATGGGAGCAAGGGTGTCCCAATCCATGGTTTTAACCTCAGCTGGCTTCGCTAAGGCTTTAGCCATCTTAAAAACGGCTGGCCCACAATGGGTTAGAAAAACGGCTCGTTTCTTGCTGGGCGTGGCATCTTTGAGGTTGTTGGACTCCAGGAACATTTGAAATCTGTCCATATATGAGTCCCAGTCTTCGCTAGCTGGATCGAATGGTGCGGGTGGTATAGCGCTGCTGGCCATGTCGCCGTCATTGCGCTCTGTCAGCCACGTGCTCCTTCAGCTAGCTCAAATCAATAGGCTTCGTTGCCTCCGCATCCCATCCTCGTCGCCAGTGTTAGATCTGGGAGGATGGTTCAAGAACGGAGGCAAGACTCAGATAGCAACAACAGCTCTTTATTAGTGACTTCAGATCTGAGCAACTAATCCCAGCCGCAGCAGCCCCTTATATAGGGCTGGCTGTGGCTAGGCAGCCAATGAAGGTGATTTGAGTTTGCCGCTCTTGGCAGGGCCAATCGCGGCAGCCCGTTTACTGGCCAATCGCATCAGTCTATGGCGACCAATCACGATCGGCTATCAGCGGGCCAATCAGGTTTGCAGGCTTTCGAGCCTGCTAGTCCGGAACAAATTCATTGGTAATTCCTGCTGAAAGAGAGCCAGTTAGGTGCAGACAGCAAAGATACCACCAACCACATCCTATAATTTAGTCTTAGGCATGAGAGAGTGACTTTGGGCCTGTCATTCTCTCTCAGCAAGCCATTCCAAAATCTTGCCAAGGAACTTGTAGATACCAATCCAGGTAGTCTCCATGACCCAAGACTAACTCAAAGTCAATATAAGACATACTGAATCTGTCTACACACACACACACACACACACACACACACACGAATAATTCTGCTTTCCTTTCCCCCTCTTTGTAGTCTGCCCACTGTAATATTGTAAGAACCACAGCGTTCTGTAAAAACAGGATATCATCTTTTGTCAAAAAGACCGAAGGAGTTTTTGAGGGTTTGATTTTTATCTCAGCAGGCTCTGCCTCTCTTTCTCTATACAGACTTTTACAGAAGGAAAAGAAGAGATGGCGGCAGCTGAGACTCAGCTCTATTCAAAGGTCTTAAACAAGAGAAAAAACAGAAGTACCAATTCGTTGCTGGAGCCTCTCTTGGCCAATGGTTTCTCTGTACATACAGCGTAAGTACAGTTATTGTCACACTGTCACAGAAATCCACCCTTTTATGTTTAGAAGAGCTCATGAAAAGAGCTTATAAGAAAAACATCTCACCCCTACCCTGTTTATGTATTGGTTCCCAGTTTACCAATTCCTGTTAATTTTAACATGTTAATGTTTCTCAATGTTTTAATGTTTATATATTTTTGTTTTTATTGTGTTATAAGCTACCCAGTTACTCAGTCGTGAGATGGGTGATGTATTATTGTTTTAACCATTCAGTCATGTCTGACTCTTGTCAATTTTATATGCAAGTGCTCTCCATGCCACCCAGCACAGCTTCTTTCAGTTGTTCGATGTTCATCTTTGTATCAGCTTTGATGGTATCAGGACAGAGAGTTCTTTGCTTGCCCTTCTTCTTGGTCTACTCCTAGCTTCCAGGCATCACTGGTTTCTGCAATGAATTTGCACACATGTCATCGCCAAAGTAAATCAGATGTAGTCTTGTGATTTTGGCTTCTAGTGAGTTGTCTGGTTTTATACAGTTTAGCACCTCTATGTTGGTTGCCCTGATGATCCATGGTATATGCAATAATTTACAGCAACACCCAAGTTCAAATGCGGTACATAAATTTAATAAATAAATAAACAATTTAAAAGGTCACATGGAGTCATCAATGGTTCATTTGTAGCACAGCATCTCCTTTGGGAACAAAGCAAATTCAATTCTTGGATTACGACAAAGAATATGCCTGCATTTTTCAGGTTAATCTGCTGGGGAAGATTATTTGGCAATGTTGTAAAATTCAATCACAATATAAAGTAATCCTGGACCAAAGCAAAGCAAATAAAATATTAAAACTGGAAATTGCTTGGGATTTATTGAAGTTAAATTCTGAAAGGAGACAAAATTCTGGAAGCTCTTAAAATTCTGTGATAGTAAGCAAATGAATTATTGAATATGTCGTTTTGTGAGGACTCTTAGGAGGCACAGTAAAAACTAGGCAACCACTCGTTTGGGGTGCTTTGAATTTCCCACAGCAAACAGGCAACTAACTAAGTTAAATGAGCTACTATACAAAGTCTTTTCCGGTATTCTGATTTTAGAATTCTAGGGGTGCTTTGAATGATTTTATTTTGTTTTTCAGTAGCCAATTTCTATCATTTAAATCCAAAAGTGCTAGCTTTTACATTGCTATAATAGCATACTAGGCATTCAAAGAATGCAACATATGAATAATTTTTTTTCAGCTGTTTTCAAATGAGTTTGTTCTGGTGAATTACCTCTTTCAAGCAAATAACATTTTAGGAATAATTTCAATTCAAAGATTTAGGAGCAGACTTGGGGAAAAAACATTTACATTTCTCATTCACTTAAATAAACTGAGGTCTTCATGGACTCATATCTTTTCTGAGTGGGGCCACAAAAACATTTCCTGCTTATTTCCCTTGGCAGGGAGATATTATTTTAATTAGCATGCAAATTAGTTTAGTTAGCTTATAGTTAACTACAACTTAAATTAGCCTGTAACCTTTATTTGTCCATTGGCCATGTCCATTGTATCTTTAAAAATCAATATGTGTTTAATTGTTGGGTTTCTATGATTATTTTTGTATAGGATATAACAGTTTGCTTATTAATGCAGTTGCTGCTAGCCACCTTCAGCTTTTTGCAGTAGAATAGCAGGATACAGTGTGATTCTAAATAAATACAATTCAAGAGGGCTGCAATATTTGGATGACAATTGATGTAGGCCACAACCGTAATATTCCTGGTAAGGTATCTAAGGAATAGAAGCAGTGGTGGGATTCTATCGGTTCTGTCCACTTCTGTAGAACTGGTTGCTATGAAAAGCAGCAAACAGAGAGCATACATAGAACTGGTTCTATGTCTGCTGCTGTTTTGGCCCACCTGCCCTCCTGGGCTCTTACCTGACCTTTATTTCCTGCATTTTCAACTGCAGCTGATTTGTGCAACACAGCTGTGGTTGAAAAAGCAGGAAAAAAGGGCTTTTTCAACCATTGCACACTCGCACACAGCACTGCTCAGCTGTCCGGGCAACTCAGCAGGCCGCAAATTGCACTCGCATGACTCACGCACGCACATGCACACACGACACAGAGCGACAGAACTGGTAGTTATACCAGTCGGATCCCATCCCTGAATAAAAAGCCTCTTTGGTTTTTCTCTTCTGAAGGTGGGAAGACAGCTCCAACTTCAGAGGGACAAACTCAGCAGCATGAAAACCTCTAAAGCAGGTTCATTCTGACATTAGGCCCAACATCAAACAAGGGCAAAAGAGGCATATCAAAGGACATACTAAGAGTACTGATGGATCCACTGCATCTTTCTCTCTCCCAGTTAAACCTACAAATGAGCTGCTAATCTATATCACCGAAGGGGTGAATCTAAGCTAACAATAGCTTATTTATGCTAAAAAGTAAAAGGTAAAGGAGTCCCTGAGGACTACTCTGCTAGTTATTGCCGATCATAGGGGGCAGTGCTGTTAAGAGTTTATTGCAGAAATCAAATCCAGAAAGCACACACAGATGACTGATTCAGCAGGATTCATTAACTTCTTTATATACATAATAATATACTAGTAAATGTACAATACCAATAGTAGATTCTTCCAACGTGGTAAGTAGTTACAAGCAAAACACAAGCAGCAGCTTCAGAGCTCAGAGCAGATTAGTTTCAGTTCTCAGCACAGCACTTTGAGCTGTAGGGCTATGCCCTGACTCCTTCATTTTCAGTTTCTAATTCAGCTCTCATTGGCGGACCTTGTTACCATGTCTCTGCCAGTTCATGAATACTCGGACAAGCGCTCATCTCCATTCAAGGCCATTGAGCCAGCACTGTCCAAAGACATTTCAATGGTCTTGTGATCAGCATGATGTCACGGAGCACTGTTACCTGTCCACCATAGTGATACCTATTTATCTACTCGCATTTGCATGCTTTCAGACTGGTAGCTTGGCAAGAGCTGGGGCTAGTCACCCCATCTGATGTCACTTGGGCTTCAAACTTTTCCAGCTGACAAGCCCAGCTTCTTAACCACTGAGCCATTGCACTGTCCTATTTCTCCTAATTAATAGAGTTTTTTTTAAAAAAAACTTACCTGGAAGGAAGAAATAAATATTTTTTTTAAATGCCTAATTTGATGCTATTGTAGAATTTTGGCAGGTATGGGTGGTCCTCGACTTACAACCACAGTTAAGCCCAAAATTTCTATTGCTAAGTGAGATAGTAGCTAAGTGAATTTTGCCTGATTTTACAACCATTCTTATCATAGTTCTTAAGTGATTCACAGCAATTATTAAGTTACTAACAGCATTATTAAGTGACTCTGGGTTCCCCATTGAGTTTGCTCATCAGAAGGTTGCAAAAGGTGATCATTTGACCCCAGGGCCTTGCAATCATCATAAATGTGAATCAGTTGCCAAGCATCTGAATTGTGATCATGTGGCTATGGAGATGCTGCAATGTGAAATGTAAAAAATTGTCATAAGTCACCTTTTTTCAGTGCCATTGTAATTTGAAGAGTCATTAAATGAACTGTTGTAAGTCAAAGACTACTTGCACTAAGTTTTCTCTTAAGAAGAGGTAATCTAATTCTCCAATTAACCACGGTTTTCTAAACCGTGTAATTCTTGCATGCTGATAATTACAAGAGGAAATGTCCAATTGGTGGTTCCTATCATGCGTAAAAACCATCTTTAAACCTAGAGGTCCTGAACTGGAGAATTACTGCTGATTCACAGACAATTGTATGCACATTAACTTGTTATAGCTAACAAGACAGTTTCCATCCTTATACCAGATCAGCTGACAAGATGGAAAAAGGAAATGTCTTACTGAAATGCTTGTATGTACAACAATATTTTTAGCACCAGGGTTTGAACTTAGTTGTTTTTCTATTTTTTTTATCTATTTGTTTTTATAAATAATCCAAGGCAGTAACAATCTTCTTAATTTTCCTTCTCCTATTTTCCCCACAACAATAACCCTATGAAGTGAGCTGGGCTGAGAGTTCGGGTAGTCCTTCACTTATGACCACAACTGAGCCCAAAATGTCAGTTGTCAAGCAACTGAATATAAATCATGTGACCATGGGAATGCTGCAATGGTCATAAGCATGAAAAGTGGTCGTAAGTCACTTTTTTCATGCTGTTGTTACTTTGAACAGTCACTAAGTGAACTGCTATAAGTTGGGGAACTACCTGTATAGGGTTTTAGCCCAATGTATATATATATACCAATCTATATACCAAATATAAGCTAGGTGGATATGACCTTGTTGATGATCCTCATTCTGTCAAGGACCTTGAAGTTCTCATATCGAATGACCTGAGCACCAAAGCTCACTGCAACAGTATTGCCAAAAAGGCTTTAAGAGTTGTAAATTTAATTTTACAAAGCTTCTCCGCTGGTAATACTGATTTGCAAACTAGAGCATTCAAAACCTTTGCTAGACCAATTTTTGAATTCAGCTCTGCTGTCTGGAATCTGCACTGTATATCAGACGTAAATACAATTGAGCGAGTCCAAAAGTATTTTACCAGAAGAGTACTACATTTCTCTGTTTGCAACAGAATACCCTACAGCACCAGACTTGAGATTCTATGCTTAGACAACCTTGAACTACGCCGACTAAGATTTGACTTAAGCATAGTACATAAATCATATGTTACAACATCTTACCAGTTAATGAATATTTCAGCTTTAACCACAACAACACAAGAGTACACAACAGATATAAACTTAATGTAAACCACTCCAAACTTGATTGCAGGAAGTATGATTTCAGCAACATAGTGGTAAATGTCTGGAACTCACTATTTGATTCTGTTGTCACCTGCTCAAACCCCCACTCCTTTACCCTCAAACTAACCTCCATTGACCTTACCCCATTCCTAAGAGGTCTGTAAGGGGCATGCATAAGCGCACAATTGTGCCTACTGTCCTATTGTCCCCAATTATTAGTTCCTATTCTTATATTTAAACTTATGTTTATTCTTATTTCTATTGTACTGTAAGCTTTTGACAAAATAAATAAAATAAATAAAAAATGTTCCCCAGCCAGCTTTCATACCTAACTAGGAAAGGATTAAAACTCTTGATGTTCTGATTACTAGCCTGGTGCCTTAACCACTAGAGCAATAGCTATACACAGGGCAAAGCCAAAACTTTAGTGACACTGTTTAAATGTTATCTATCACTTTCTTTGCTCAAAACGAATATATTGTTCTTTCCTTAGATTAAAGGCATTGGCAGCTACTGGACAAAAGACAGCAGAAGCAGCAATACAATGGTAAGTTTTGATGTGGTATTAATTACTGATTGGGAGTTGCCCAGAATTTGATATAAAATGGATAACTATTTAAATGTCTTAAATAAAGTAGTATGGCATGTTGCTGCTCAGAAATTAATTTTGAATGTTTTTTTCCGATTCAATAATTCTATTGCGAAGAGCCCTGATTTTCATTTATGTTATCTAGATCAGTATTTCTCAGCCTTGGTCACTTAAGACCTGTGGACTTCAACTCCCAGGATTCCCCAGCCAACTGTGCTATGCTGGCTTGGGAATTCTGGGTGTTGAAGTCCACATATCTTAAAGTGACCAAGGCTGAGAAACACTGATCTAGGGAATAGAGCTGCATACACTTCAAAAATGATTTGGAAGAAGAGCTTTGGATCTGGATATTCATTAAAGTTACCTCAGGGAGATATGGCCGATAAAGAGGTTCTCAGAATGTGTTGGTGTCATGACTATATGCAAGGAGTACTGTACAGTGTTTTTTCAATACCTGGCCTACCTATCTTGGAACCTTAATATCTAATCAAGGTATGAAATCTCCTGATAATCTCTTTGCTCTTTTGCTCCTTGAGAATTGTCTTCTCATCCTTGGCCCAAGACTGAGGTAATCTTCAGTCATTCTTAGTTGTTCCTGTATTGTTTCCCCTCCACTAACAATTTCAAAATGACATGTTTCACTGCTCATGCTCATGCTCACACGGCTCAGTCAAGTGATCCAAAAAGGGTGAATCAACTCATTGGCCATTTCAAGATGTTGTGAACATAACTTTTCTTTCCACTTCCTCGGCAATCTTCTCTGCTGTCATTTTTCTCCTCCCCATTTAAAAAAGGTGAGGAAGTACATGGATTTGAAAGAACAGTACCTACTTGAAAATGTGTGTGGAGAAAAAGGAGAAAAAAATGTATTTCTTTCAAAAGCAGCCAACATGACATAGCTAATGTGATATTTCAAAACTGCAGTCTTTGGCAAGTCAGCTTCTATGGTTTTGAATTGACACTCTTTCAAAATCTGGTGTTTCAGCAAGCCTTCTAGTAGTTCTTAGGTGGGCTTCCTATTTTAAGATGTAATCTCATCTCCTCTGGCTTTGCTCTGCAGGGTAAAGCAGGAAAGGAGGGTCATGCTACCTGTCTAAATTTATCACCTTCCCAAACCCCCTCTTGTCCCACTCCAGTATTATTATTGGGATTTGTGACTGTTTCCCACCAGCTTAGAATCCCTCATAAATAACAGAGGGCAACACCCCCAGAAAATTAAACAAAAGGCAGCAACACACTCAAAAAACGGATATGGCCATTCAGAATAGAAACAAAAGAGGTGGGATAAGAATCTGCCAAGGAAAAATCACACATGCTAGCACTATTTTTTAGTGACACATGGATGGCTGGACAACTGTTTAACTTGGCAGTGAGGAAAGATTGCTTTGTAATCAGAACTACCAGAAACTGACATGATCAGATTCTTTAAAACTGTGATTATTAAATGTGTAAAAGTTGTAACATTTACAGTTCTGAGAACAAATATTTATTTCTTATTTATTTCATAATATTTATATGGCTGCCCATCTCACAGACAAATGACTGTGACTGGCATACAACCAAAATATGCTTCTGAAATTGGGGCTTATTTAAGAAAATCTATACCAAAGATCTTATTGTAGGCTTAGCTGTTACTGAACCACAACTCAGCCTTTCTAACGTTTCAGGGCGTGGCTTCTAGAGATACTGGGAGGTGCACCTCAGGTCAACCAGGCTGTCTACTCCTGTCTCAGAAATGAAGCTTCAGTATAAACCTTAAGCTGCTTTGGACTGCTAAAGCTAAAACGAAGCATAAATATTTAACGTAGTACTTAAAGGAGCTAAATAACAACAATTTTTTTTAAAATTACAGAGTTATTATTAATGCCAGCTGCATTAAAAAACTTGATTAAGGGAGATGAATGTAAACCTTTCTGATCTCTCCTTACTGATAAGCATTCTAAAATTATTGAATAGTGATATTCAAACAGGCATGCAAATCTTGATTGTAGACGGTAACTGCCTTCAGTTAATAAAAATCTTTGTTTCTGAACTTTTTTTTTAACTGAGGAGAGAGGAGGAGTCCTGCTGATGGATCTTCCTCTCCACCATATTTCATTTTTGAGTGCATGAAATAGGCTATTTCTCCCTATTCATTCCTCTCATCCAGAATGCATTCTTCACAGTTTCAAAGAAAGATATTTAATCTTGAGAAGGATGATCCTAGGTTAGTGGTATCATAGTCTGAAGGAACATTGACCCATTGGCACAAGTAAAGGCAAGGGCTACTCAGTTAGTAAAAGACTTGGAAATCAATTCATTGGATGAACAATGGAGGAGGTGGGCATGTCTGGTTTTGCTGAGGAGAAAATATGACAGCAGAAATCTAAATGATTGCCATACAGAGGAGTGAGTTGGCTTTTCTCTGTTGCTCCATAAGGCAGGAACAAAACCAATTATGGATTTAAATTAGGTACTAGGAGGATTTTCATGACAATAAAAAAACATCTTTGAAAAAGCAACTTTGGGGAAACCATGACCTGGATGATAGAAAATCTCCATAAACATGATGATAAATTTTCAACTAGTGATTTGTTTCCCTTCAGTGGTGGTCATCAGATAATCATCTGTCCGAAAAGCTTTAGCACAACTTGACCTGAATAAAAAAAAGTAATATTGTGCTACTACTTTTCCCATTCTACATTTCTATGTGCAATTTCTGACAAGTTGAGAGATTAACTAGGCTTTATGAAACATGTGAAGGGCCATACTTTAAAATAGGTTGAGAGTAGCATGTATTCTGACAGAATTAGCCAGTTTTTAAGAAGTGGAGTGGGTACTTTAAGGATTTACAAGGCTTAAGAGAGCTGTTTTCTCCTTTAAAAGTATTCTAAAATGCAAGAAATAGTTACCTAATTTTTGACTTCTCCATTCTCAGAAGGGAAGCCAGTAGACCTTACCTAGTCCTAGATCACGCTTCTTTGCATTCTGAAAATCTTCTTTGCGGCTGAAAAATGCAAAAACAACAACTAATCCATTCTAATTTTTAATTGCAGGTTGCATTCTCACCGCAATGATCCTTCTTTAGAAGATCCCATTCCTCAGGAATATGCCCTCTATTTGTGTCCAACAGGCCCCTTGAATGACGGTCTGTTGGAGTTTTGGAGAGAAAGCAAATGCCAGTGTGGAAAAAACAAAGCCCATGAAAATTTCCCACACATTACACTTTCTGACTTCTTCACAGTAAGTTACTTTTGTGTGTGAGGTGACAATGGCTCAGATAAGGTGACAATGGCTCAAATAACATTCTGGTATCTCTTATTGTTGCAATCTTCCCTTGCTATGTAAAGCTTAGCGCACTATTTGGGTTAAGCTAAAGATTAAGCTCAGGGGTAATTTCACTCTGCATGTGTCTGGGATTTGTGTCACATTACCTTACGATTCTTATACCAGTGGCGCTTTTCCATAGCTGTGCTTATTAACTTCATTCTCATCTGTGGTACAGGAGAAAATACTATGAAGTTTATTTTTCAGTGTTAACCCCCGAGATGTTGGGCAGGTAATTAATAGCCAAGCATTTTTGCCTCCTTAACATTTTCTACTGAGTGACTCTCCACAGCCCCTGCAAGACACTGTTGCCAGTATTTTCTTGTGCTTTTTCAACTCCTTTTTTTCTCTTGCTGCAAGAAGAAATGCTGCAAGAGAAACAGAGAAAGTGGAATGCAGTAGAATAGAGTGGAACGCTGACTGGATGTTGGTTTTTGTACAACCTTGGTGTTCCGCTGGAAGAGTTCCAATTTGTTCATGAGAAGAACTGAGCAATTGCTGTCAAGAAAATGGTCAGGAGACTTGTGGCAGTATGAAAAGTGTCTTGGATTTCAGAAGTGAAGCAAATAGTTGGATGGAAATGACCTATACTTATTTCAGTTGCTATTGATCATATCCTTCTCATCTTTACTTTAAAGGTTTTAGTTTTATGTATTATACTACATTCAATGGTCAACACAGCTGTTGGTAACTCAAGAGCTTTGTTTTTTCCAGTGTGAAGACCAAAAAGTTGATGGTTTATATGAAGCTCTGGAAAAAGCCGGTAGCCAATTTTCAAGAAGTTTTCCTGTGATGATTTCCCTATCACTACATTCATCCAGCACCTACATTGGCTTCTTTCTTAGTGATGGCCCTGCAAATGTCATCAAATTATTCGCTGCTGCTTTTGCTGCAGAGGCCACAGTCTTAGCAGGTAACAATAATCCAGAAGTCATAATGTCTACAAGCAGAGAAGCAGGTTTGTGAGAAGGGAAACTGTCCTTTACATTCCCCTTCTATATAACAGCCCCTTCTGTGTAGCTTTGTGGGTATTGGAATATATTCTAATGCTTGCCTGTATGTATTTAATTTCTAAGAATACAGGAATCTACGTACACCACTGAAAGCAAGGGGGCTATTTTCTGAAGGATTAGTCATATGATTTCTCTGTGCATCAGTTCAATGCTGCAATACTTTTTCAAATGCAAGCCTGAGAATAATACAGTAATACCTGATACAGCCTCCTAGGTACAGTTTGGTTATGTTTTGTTCGTAGATTGCTGTGTGAAGCCTTCAGTAAAGCAACTCCACCTCACTTTAGCCCACAAATTTTATCCTCATCATCAAAAGACATTGGAACAACTGGCCAAATCAATCAACCCTATGCAAAGTTGTCAGTGGGTGGCGGCTCTCTATTCTAGGGATATGCGCTTCGTCCATTATCAGGTAGGTGCATTACCTGGAATCCATCCACTTCAGGCTTGCTCTGTTTCTAAGTTCACCCTTTTTTGTATCTTTTTATAGATTTTTAAAATGGCACTCAAAAAGACATATTAATGTCCATACATACAGTAGACTCATATATGGATGGATTGAATCTGTTGATATATGGATGGATTGAATCTGCTCTGAATCTGTTAAAGAATTATTCAAAGCAATATTCTTGAATGCCATTTTCTATTGTTTCATTAATACACAAATCTTGTACACTTTTTGCTCGAATCATTATAACTCATACATAGTTTAGATGGGAATACTGCATCATATAATTTTGAAAATGTTGAACTTACAGTAGAACTGAGTTTTACTTCATGAAATACAAACTTGATAAGTTTTCACTAAAATGTAAACCAAAGTAATTTTTCTATCATATTTGCATGCTCTGTTTGTTAAATCTCTTAACCTTAAAATCTGTGAAAGTTTGAGCAGTGCTTAAGAGTTTGTGAAACCTTTTAAATTTTCAATATTTCTGCATAAATAAAACATGATCACCATTCACCACACAAATGTGAAAAGTAGATAAAAACAATCCAATTAAACAAATGAATCAAAAACATACTTCTCAATTTATTTATTGAGGAATTTCTTATTGAATTAAAATTTGAATCATACACATAAAAATAAGCATGGTGCAAAATCATAGAGATCTGAAAAAGTTTGATTTAGCCATAATAACTGTACATTACTGAGCAACTATTTTGGCTGTCATTGATAATTGTGTTGTAGAATACAAGTGTTCCTTCCATGATAACGTTTCACACAATCAGATTATCACATTCTTGAAAGTTCAAGAGCATTACCTTGTCCACCCCATGTTTTCTCCTACTATTAATATAATGTGGTTGATCTTCCAGCAGTCAAATCCCATATCCTTCTTGTTAAATAAATTATATTGAAATCAATGGGATTTAATTCTGAAGTGAATTTTGGAAATATTCTTAATCAAGTGAAGGACATGCTTAATGATGTAAGGCTATGGTAACAATTGCATTTCAACATTATGAATCAGGTTAATGTATCAAATAAAACATATGCAAATGTAACTTTTCTTGGATTTGACAAAATATTTTTCAATTTAACACTGACTTTTTCACTGGCTTCTGTTAAGGTTTTGAGGGCCTTATTCCAATACAAGCCTCAAAATATTGATGAATTAATGTTGAATTCAGGGGATCTTATATATGTTGATCGGTCACAGCAACATGAAATATGTGATGGATGGACAATTGGTATATCTCACCAAACTGGATGCCGCGGATTTCTTCCTGAAAATTACACAGAAAAAGCCAATGAATCAGATACCTGGGTAAAACACAGGTTAGTATTAGTTGGTTGAAAATTTCTTAACTCTTCATTTTAGAGACAAAACCTCACTTGCAGCATCACAAGATGATCAGTCTGGTGATTAGCTCATAGGCTGAAGGTTTCCCCATCCCAGCTTTGTGTGCATATGTGTGTGTTTGAGAGAGAGAGAGAGAGGGAGGGAGGGAGGGAGGGAGAGAGAGAGAGAAAGAGAGACCTTTACCAATGCTATCCCTATCTAAATGCAAATCAACATAAAAACATGTAACAGGCAAAAGTTATATCATTGCACTTCAAGGAATATGAGCAACCCAGCCAATGTATAGAATTGGGTCTCAGCTTTGTATCTATTATTTTAGCATTGCAAGACAAACTCATGAAATCAAAATGAAAATGAATATATTGTCATGGCCTTTAAATTGAGAGATAATCTTACAACTGTTTCTTTTATATATACTGTATGTATGTATGTGTGTGTGTGTGTGTGTGTGTGTGTGTGTGTGTGTGTGTTTTCTTAAGTTTTCGCGGGTACTTACATGTATGGTATTCAGCTTTGTTGGGGTATTTTCCCACGTCATTATAGTTGTGCTTTTAAAGTTGTAGCAACGTTTCGGCAGAATCTCATCTGCCATCATCAGGCTTCTGTATAGTGTTCGTCTGTGAGTCAGACTTTCACAGCCGTTTCTGTTTCAAATTTGGTGCTAGCCTACTGCTGTGCCAGAATGGCTTTTTCTTCATCCTGATTGGTTGGGAGTCTTGGTCTTGGAGTTTGCTGTGTTCTGCTTGATTGGTGTTTCTAATATCTTCTGTCTGTTTTGTAGCTTTTTTTGTCTTGATTGGCTGGCAACATTGTGTTTCCTGTATTGGAGGCTTTTAGTACAGCTTGGCTCGGAGTAAACGGACTGCTATCATTTATTAGGAAGCTAGATTTCATCTGGGTGCCTGGTTGGGGTGTGTTTGATCTGGAGTTATCAGGGGGGATTTGTTTGTACCCAGGTGTTTGTCTGGCTTGTGGTGTGGAGATTTTTTTTTTTTTTGAGTGCAGGTTTCCAGATAATTGACAGTCTGGTGGAGTCATCTCTTTTATTCATGCTTTCAGGACTTTTTTCAATCTCTATGGCTTCTCTGATAATTCCGTAGCTGGGGTTTTCTATAGTGGCTAGGTTTTTGGTGCCATTGAAGGCGATGCTATGGCTTTCTTGTGTTGGACTAGTGAGGAAGTGTGTTCCAGCTTTTTTACTGCACTTTTGTGTTCATCCAGGTGCGTACTTATTCTTCTATTGGTCTGTCCGATGTATGTGGCAGGGCATGATGTGCAGGGGACTTCATATACGCCTTGGTTCAATTTTATCTTTGGGGTTTCTTAGGATGGCTGCTATTTTTCTGTCTGTTTTGAAGGCAGTCTTGATGTGATGCCTGTGTAGTATCTTACTGATTTTGTCTGTAGTACCTCTTATGTAGGGCAGGACAGCTGTTCCATAGGTTTGTTCATCTTCTAGGTCTCCATTATATCTCAGTGTGTTTTTGTGGATCAAGCCAGTGATTTTGCTTTTGTGGAAGCCATTGGCTGTCAGTACTTTAGTCAGGGTGCATAGTTCAGTCTTTATGTGTGTCTTGTCTGCCAGGCGTTTGGTTCTGGCAATTAGTATTTTGGCCACGGAGTTTATCTGTGCTGGGCGGTGGTGGGATTGGGCATTGAGGTAGCAGTTGGTGTGTGTTTTCTTCTGGTATATGGTGTGCCCTAGAGTGCCATCTGTTTTTTTCTAGATTAGTACATCTAGGAATGGTAGTTGTTCATTTGTTTCTGTTTCCATGGTGAATTTCATTTTGGGGTGTGTGCTGTTTAGGTGTGTTAGGAAATTGTTTAGGTTTTCTTTTTCATGGGGCCAAATAACAAATGTGTCATCGATGTATCTTAACCATAGTTTGGGTTTGTGGGTGGCATTGGCTAGGGTTCTAGATTCAAATTCTTCCATGAACAAGTTTGCAATGATGGGTGACAGTGGTGATCCCATAGGGGCTCCTTCAATTTGCTTGTATCTTTGTCCTTTGTATATGAAATATGTGTTGGTTAAGCAGTGTTCTGTTAGTTCCATGAGGTGTTTGGGTGGTTGGTATTTATTTCTGATGATTTCGGGAGTTTCTTTTATCGGGACTTGAGTGAATAGTGAAACCACGTCGAAACTTACAAGCAGATCTTCTTGTTCCACATGTAGATCTTTGATCATTTCAAAGAGGTGGTATTAGTTTTGTACATGTGAAGCTGCTGCTTCAGCATGGGGCTGTAGCTGCTTTGCTAGGTATTTGGCTAGGTTTTGTAGTGGTGCTCCTCTGGAGCTGACTATGGGTCTGAGAGGTATGCCTTCTTTGTGTATTTTGGGGAGGCATGTAGTTTGGGGCATCTGGAAGATTTTTCTCTTGGGATGATCGTTTGTTGGATCTCTTTGCTCATGTGGCTGGTTATAATTTTCTTCTTGGTTATTTTTTCCAGATATGTGGTTGGGTCTGTGTTTATGGGTTTGTATGTGGAGTCTTGGAGTAGGTCTGTCAATTTTGTTTTGTAGTCTTTTCTATCCATTACTACTGTGGCATTACCTTTATCTGCTGGAAGTATGCTGCTGTCGTTCCTTAGGGCTTGCAAGGCTTTTAGTTCCTCTTTGTGCAAGTTGCTTTTGGGTGGTTTGCTTGTGCATAGGATGTTAGTGACTTGGTGTCTTATTCTGTCAGCTTCATTTGTATTTAGTTTAGTTAGGCTGGATTCCACTCCACATATGATGGATTCTGTGGGGATTTTTTTGGGTACTATAGCATAATTGAATCCTTTGGTTAGGACATCTGTTTCTGTTTTGGTGAGTTCTCTGTTGGAAACGTTGTATACTAATTGTTTCAGGTGTTGTTGTGAGTATAAGCATTCCGTCTTCCATTAAACAATGTGTCATCTGGATATAAATATCTCTGTGCAATAACAATCAAAATTTACAACAGTATACATTGTATTGGTATTAATTTTGCAATCTTACAAAAATAATATTGTATGTAGTAAACCTATTCATTTCTCTCTTAACATATTTTCTAATAAGAATATAATAATAACATTAAACATAGTAAATCTAATAGTCATATCAATAACAGTCATCACATTGTGTACATCTCTATCTTAACATACTTTCTATATTTCACTAATCTTCTTTTATTTCTAACTTCCATTTTTCTTCTCCAACCATCAATAAAATAATTCCCATGTCATATAATATTCAGTTTGTTCTTTCTCCTTAATTGCAAGTGGTAATCTATTCATTTCTGCACATTCTAATATTTTCCTAATCACATTCTCAATAGTAGGAATCTCTTCACTTTTCCAATTTTGTGCAAAAACAATTCTACTTGCCGTTAACAGATGGATAATTAAATATGCATTCCCTTTACTATAAGTTTCAGTAAAATCCCCAACAAAAATATTTCTGGCTTTAAGTCAATACACTGCTTTATTATCTTTTCCAGTGTGTATTTTTGTCCAGTATTTTTTTTTTTGCTTCTGCACATGTCCACCACATATAATAAGACCCAGGTATCTGGTGGAACTTCCAACATTTAGCTGACTTATCTTTAAACATCTTTGCCAATCTTGCTGGTGCAAAATGCCATCTATAAAACAAATTTTATATAAATTTTCTTTATATGCAGTTGACATTGTTAATATATAATTCCTGTCCCACAATTTCTGCCATTTATCTAATTCTATTGTGTAACCAAAGTTTTTTGCCTGTGCTATCATTGTCTCCTTCACTTGTTTCTCTTCCAGTTTAATGCTCAATAAGTAGCTGCACAGTTTCTTTATCAATCCTTCTTCTGTCCCTGTTAATATCTAATTCTGTTAGTTCTTTATAGAAACCATATAATTTAGCATCTTTCTCATGTCTAGAATGTATCTGCACTTGCTAATACCATGTCATATCGATCCCTTGATCACTCAGTTCTTGTTTAGTTTTGAGCTCTCCCTTTTCATTCAAAACATCTTTCTATCTAACAATATTTCCCATATTAATAAAATTTGGATGAATCAGTGCTTCCATTGTTGAAAGCCAAACTTCAAATAGTGTTGCTCTCTAATTTTCTCCCATATTTACAATAGTGCATTCCTTATGTAATGTCTTTGAAAGTAACCATATATCTTATTCAGTGGTGGAATTCAAAAATTTTTACTACTGGTTCTGTGGGCATGGCTTATTTGGTGGGCGTGGCTTGGTGGTCATGTGACTGGATGGATGTGGCTTGGTGGTCATGTGACTGGGTGGGCATGGCTTGGTGGTCATGTGACTGGATGGGCGTGGCCAACTCAATGTCACTCATATCAAGGGGGGCCTCACCTGCCCCTCCCCTCCCAGCCATTCCTTGTCACCCAGCCTCAACTTATCTATAGTTCTATAAAAATGTTGTTCACCCTTTTTTGACTTTATTATCTGCATACTATAGATGTACTTTCATGGACCATTGAAAAGGGAAAATGGCTCACATGCTTTACCCAAGAGTGTGATAGGCAACAGGCTTTTAAGGGGCTGCCACAAAGAAAGGGGGACAATGTATTTTCCAAAGAAGCAGAAGGCAAACAAGAAGCGATGGATGGAAACTGAACAGCGAGAGAAGCAACCTAAAACTAAGGAGAAACTTCCTGACAGTGAGAACAATTAACCAGTGGAACTGCCAGAAGTTCTGGGTGCTCAATCACTGGAAGTTTTTGAGAAAAGGCTGGACAGCCATTTCTCTGAAATGGTATAGGGTTCACCCCAAGGTCCCTTCTAAGTATTATTCTGACACCTTTCCCAGGATTTCTACTCAGAGTTTGGCATCCTCAGTTTTCTTGCCTGAGCTGGGGTTGGACTAGAAGACCTCCAAGGTCCCTTTTCAACTCTTGTTAAACACATGTGTATTTTATGCTCTGGACTATTGACATTGAATGCATGTAAACCCTGAAAAATATCTGGTAGCCCTGGGCAAAAGAAAGGCAGAAAAATCAC